CGCTTGTGAAATGAAGTCATGCTAGTACTAAACTTCCTGTTTACAAAGCATGTGCACATCTTACTGTTAGCAATTTTCAGAAATCTCGTTTCTACCCTAAAGTGCTAACAAACAGTACTGTAGTAGTCTTATTTGCATGCAGGCTTGAGTACGTTTATCAATTCTTCAAAACGATTTTACGTTTTTCAACTTTTTCACTATTTTATATGGCTGGTTGAGAATCTCCTAGACAATTTTTTAATAACCTTACTCTCATTCTCTATACAAATCCGGCAGGTTGCTGAAATGTGGTTAAAATAAACTCATCCGATAAACTTCCGTATTCGGTTACTCAATATTATTTCGCCAGTGTTTTTCGAACTTATGACATGATTGACCGAGGAATTTGTAAACGTTAAGCTGGAGCTAACTTACTTTAAGTGTCAGACCAACGAAAAAGTTCCTTACCGAGACATGGCTTGCCTAAATAAAGGGTTCCATCTTCCGAACAGTCTTCGAAAGTTAGAGTCATAGTGTTGAATATCTACTGAAACCAATTTGATTGTCTATAATAACTTTGGTCTATTCTTAAGGTATAAGGATAGTATCACACTGTGATCTACCAATTTCTTTGGCGCCCTATCTAAAAAGGACAGTGGTATTGTTTCTCGTTGAATTAGTAAATTGTTTTGATCGTAAATTACGTATCAAAACTACGATTTACACTTTAATTGAATCTAATACAGTTAAAGAGATATTCTGTTGAGTTTTTTTGGCTTTTGTGTATTTATTATTTTCGAAGCATTCTTGGTCTGTGTCAAAGTACTTTCGTTAAGGTTTGAAATCTTGCTAAAGTTTTTCTTGTGGTAACCTTTTACTCGTTGACTGACATTTGTGTTCATACTGTGATCATATTGTGTATTACACTTTGATCAGACTAAAATGGTCGGTAGTACTCACAAATGTGGACAACCAAACTGTTTGTTCCCTGTGGAAGAGGGAATGCAGTGTGACGAATGCCATAAGTGGTTCCACAAAATGTGCACCCGCTTAAGTCCCACCGCATACAAAAGATGCTCGAAGCCTAACTCACATTGGCTTTGCATGTTTTGCTGTGCCAACAAGGCATTACTAATACAGGAGGCTATGAGCCTGTTGGCTTTGGCCTGCAAAAAGAAGGATGGCATATGCGCTGACAGCACGGGCACTGACAGTGACGAATATGTCAGTGTAGTACCTGCTGTTACGCGACGCCTCAAACAACCTACTCTGACCGACGTAAAAGTGGAATCTTCGTTGACATTAACAGGGGGAGTAGTACCACCTGGTACTGACATTGTTAATAATGCACCTTCAATGGGAACCGAAGATCTGGATAAAACAGTCACCGTTCCAAATAGTCCCAGTGTTATGAGGGATGAAAAGTGGACTACGGTACGTAGGAAACGAAACGAAAAGAAAAAAGCTGTAAGCAGTACACAGTTAGTTAGTAACTCACTGGTGGACTCAAATTGTGAGCCACAAATTGCACTACCAAGATCTGATGGTAAGAGTGAAACCCATCCTGGCGTGACTGAGAAGAAAAATCTAATAACATCGAATATTATTGTGAGCAAATTGCGGGAGTCAAACGACCCTGATCCGAAAATTAGACACGCCCATGACTTAGAAAAGCTAGGAGAATACATTCGTAGTATTTTACCAGATAACTCCAAAGGAGTTCAGGTCAAAAAATTCGTAAGAATAGGCAAGAGGACCGAGGACAATGTTGAACCCCGTCCATGCAGACTCCTTAAGGTAATCCTAGGATCGGAGAAGCAACGGGATCTCTTGTTAAGTAGCGCTCGTTGTCACGACAATTTTGACATCCGAGTTAAACCTGACATGTCTCTCGAAGACAGAATAAAAAGGAAGAAAGCACTAGCTGAACTTGAAACCCGTCGGCAAAACGGCGAGGAAAATCTCCGACTAGTGGGTTTTCGGATAGTCAGGTCTTGAAAGCGAATGCTACCAAGGCCTGTGTGGATAGGCTGTTCTACTTAGGAGTTTTATATGCCAACGCTCGTAGTTTACGAAATAAGTTCTATGAACTAGAAGCACTAGTAGACAGGTTAAAGCCACTCATAGTAGCAGTGACAGAAACTTGGTTAGTCCATGACTTAGACATTACTCCGGAATTATCCGGATACCATTGCATCAGGAGTGATAGACATAGATGTAGAAAAGGAGGCGGCGCCCTGTTATATATAGCCAATGGCATAAATATCCGCTCCTCTACTAGCGAATCCCATGATAGCGGCACTTGTGAAGTCATTAGCTGTAAGTTGGCCATCGGATTTATTACATTCATGCTCAGTGTCATCTATCGCAGCCCGATCTGCTTAGCTGATGACTTTATTTTAAAGCACATTCATTTTGGAGGGAAAATACCAGATGCTTGATAATAGGAGACTTTAATGCACCTGATATTAGTTGGACTGAGATGACCACAGAAGGATCTGTAAACTCCTTTGATAGTAGGTTACTGATAACAATAATGGAGCATGCACTAGTGCAGCATGTATCCCAACCCACACGTTTTGGTGTTAACCAGGGTTCTTCTCTGCTGGATTTGGTAATCACTCATGAGACTGAGGATATTGTCGACTTAAATATTCTTCCACCGTTAGTAAACAGCGATCACGCTGTTTTGTCATTCGCGTTTAGAACTAGGGACATGTTGTACGATCAGGTTACACCGCGCCCAAATGTATGGAAAGCTAACATATCAGCCATTCAGGAATGCGCTGCCAAGACAGATTGGTTAGTAGATACTAGCATATCAGTTAAAGAAGCATGGTCTGTATTTAAAGGTAAATTTAGACTAGTTACGTCCCCGTTCATACCATACCTGGTACCGCGAAGACCGAATAATAGTCCACCATGGATAACTAAAACGGTCAGGAAACTCCTTAGAAAAAGGAAGAATCACTGGAATATGTTCATCTCTACTGGCTTAGAACAATACAGATCCAGTTATTGCAAGATTAGGAATGCCTGTAAAGCGTTAATAAGCAAGACTAGACTATCATACGAAAAACAATTGGTTAGGGATTCTAGATATAGTCCGAAACGGTTATTCTCGTATATAAAAAGGCGAACTAAGAGAAGCGATGGAATTCCATCACTTTTGATACGAGACAATCCGTTAATCTTAGCACAGAATGATGCCGAAAAAGCTGAAGCTTTATCGGAATATTTTAGTAAAGTGTTTTCTATCGGTAATGAGGAACGACCAATGATTCATCGTGACCGTGACGGCTCGCTGATGGATCCTGTAGTCATAGAGAAAGGTACTGTTTTAAGGCTACTTTAGCATCTCAAACCTGATAAGTCCAGTGGTCCCGATGATATTCATCCTAGGATTATGAAAGCCATATCAGATGAAATTGCCGAACCATTAGCGATACTATTCGACATGTCTCTGAGACAGTCCAGACATCCAAGAGACTGGAAAGACGCTATAATAAATCCGGTGTATAAGGCTGGGAGTAGGGATTTAGTTAGTAACTATAGACCCGTTAGCTTAACTATTGCAGTTGTAAAACTGATGGACAAAATCATTCGGATATCCGTTCTTAACTATGTTGAAGGGCATAATCCTTTCTCCAGGGCACAACATGGTTTTAGGAAAGGCTTATCTTGCTTGACAAATCTTCTTATTGCACGAGAAGATTCGGCTGCTGCAAAAGATCGGAATGTTCCTGTGGATGTGATCTTCACAGATTTAAGTAAGGCCTTCGATAAAGTCTCCCACTCTGGTCCTAAATTCAAACTGGAACGTTTTGGAATCCATTGTACAGTCGTAGATTGGATAAGTAACTTTCTCCATGACAGGAGACAAAGGGTAAGGGTAAATGGGGCTCTCCTCGTGGGTACCTGTAAGAAGTGGAGTCCCCCAAGGTACAATCCTAGGTCCTCTTCTCTTTTTACTTTATGTAAATGAATTACCAACCATAGCGAAATCATCCGTTCTACTCTTCGCTGATGACATAAAGGTTTGGAGACCCATACACAGTATGTCGGATAGGATAGTATTACAGAATGATCTTAGCTCATTGGTGGCATGGTTGGACAGGTGATCACCGGGAGTAGATCCTAATAAGAGTGTAGTGGTGCAAACAAATAACTACGATGAATCGTATCACTACACAATGGGTGGATTCGTGCTACCCGAAGTAAGAAACTATGAAGATTTAGGAGTCATATTAAGTAGTGATCTCAAAACCACTAGTCACTGTAAAGCTGCTGCTGCGAAGGACTATAGGGTATTATGGTCTATTCGTAGGTCTTTCCAGTATTTAGATGATGAAATGTTTGGATTATTGTACCCGATTTATGTGCGACGACATTTAGAATATGGGGTTCAAGCAGCGAGTCCTTGTCTCAAGTATGAAGCAGAGATGCTGGAAAGAGTCCAACGACAAGGTACTAAGATGGTACAAGGTCTATCTGACCTATCTTATGAAGACAGACTGAGACACCTCAACTTATTTCCGTTATCTTACCGTAGAGTACGGGTTGATCTAATATTGGCTTATCGTATACTGAACGGTGACCTTGGTATTAACATGTTTTATCTCTTGCTTCCGTCTAGGACCGATCATTTGAGAGGACATTTGAAGAAAGTTCAAAAACCGAGATCAAACCGTTTACGTCTGGAGTTCCGTTTCTCGCACCGAGTAGTGAATTACTGGAACTCTCTACCGTAACACGTAATATCAGCACCTTCTGTTGATATATTCAAAACGAGATTGGACCTCCACAGTATTACAAACTGCAAGGATTAATATAGGTCGAAAGACCTCCTATCCTTATTACTGAAGACTGAAGACTGAAGACTCTTTTATCGTTAACATACCTAGGTTCCTGTCTGGAGTTATTCCTGATCCCCTGCTACAAGACACGGAAGCCTATTCAGCGAAAGCTTCTTCTATTCCGTCCACAACCATATGAACCATTCTTTTACGTCTAGAACAATTTGAAACATTTGTGCATATTTTTGAATATCGCGTTACGGTTCAGTATTAGTGATCGATGCCAGACAGGATGTTTTCGTCCTAAGGTATGTCTGTATCCCTATGGTTTCAGACGCACTCACCAGTTAGTTAGACTAAAATGTTTTCAAATTTACGGACCCTTCAGTAATAAGAGTATTAGGTCAACTGACCTGTGTTTATCTAATTAGTGTCCATCGACGTGGCTGGCACCATTTTCTTGGGTCGTAGTTCTGGTCTGTGAACATCCATGAGAGACGGTGTTGCGCTCTAGGTTTATTCGACCATTAGTCGTTGAGTGGGTTGGAAACCAGTTTCCAACCCATTTCTCAACGTCGTGTCAAAAAGCTACAAAAAGATTGAGCCTGCTTACACTAAGCTCCCCTCTCTTTATAAGGAACTCCGAAATAAAGTCTCATTATTCCATAGACTAAGGGGGATGTTTTACGCGTCTTATTCGGTCGTCATAAGCGATTAAATTGGCATATCAACTTAGCATCCCCACTATTTCGTGTCAAATGTTAAAAACATAAGATAGCTAGAAATCTTTGTTTTCAGCTAGCGGCTCAAAATCTCCGCTAACACGGTCTTCATGCTCACAGTACTATTCAAAACTGTTAGTATACGATTACTTGTCAATCTTCGGATTTCTTGTTTACGAAAGTAGTGTTCCACTGTTGGAGTTCCGTCGACGGTGAGCGTGACCAATCCAACTGTCACTAAACATAATTTCCAGACCAGCCTTCTAATTTATTAGGACTCAAGGTCATCGGAACCATATGTATGAGTTCTAACATCACACTAGCGAAGTTATTTTGAACAGGTGTTTATCATAAGCTTACTTCACTTAGTAATCAACGTGAGTCTTTATAATGGTCAATTTACGTGCATTCCTGACTTTTTGGTACTAAAGCTTCAATGCTTCATGAGTGGTCATGAAAATCAAGTCCTAGAAATATGTCTCACGCTTTACTATCGTTCATATCTCATGGTTCTTTAGAGGCCCTTGGGATAGCTTACATTAAGTTGACCATGGGATAGAAGCTGTTACTTCTTCGAATGCCGCTTTCAACTAACACCATACCTTTTTAATCGACTAACCCGTACCAACTGGTATTGGTCAATGATAAGTGGTTAGTTTGTATGTTAAATAACGTAGAGTAGACTGCAATCATCTAAATCGCTGAGCAGGAGAAAAATCTCATCTTTACAATGTAAATGGTATTTCCTTGGTTAGATTATGAAGCACATATGCATCCTACTATCTTAATTATCTATTTAAAATAAATACCGATATAACTGGGCTCTAAAATAAGTATGCGCCAAAGAAAACTAGTATTGTGAAGACGTGAATGGAGCCCGAGTGTAATCAAAATGAATAAGTGGACCAGTGTGACTTGTAGTACGAGAGTCCCGAGAGCATTTTCCAGCCGAAGGATGTAGTAGAAAACTACAGCGAGAACGCTATTGTCTTCTGTCCTAGGTAGTCTGATATCTCAGGCCACTTAGTTGCACTATCTCTGGAACACTGAATAGGGAGTTGTGATTGATAGATAGATCCCAGTTCTCTACATTCTTTCATACCATGGTACCATATTATAGAGTGGTCACCTCTCCACTCAGTTGTAGCGTTAAGCAACGGACGGAGTGAAATTCTCTGTGACGACATTCCTACTTGTGTCTAGGCCTCCGCACCCGGTTCCTCATGGTGATCGTGTGTGCCAGAACACACATTTCGGAATCACCTCATTATTAACATGATGTTGTTGCTAAATACCAACAACCCTCCTGGAATAGCAATGAATCATCTAACATCCTCAAGTTCAAAAGGTCGGATATCGCAAGAACAGAGTCGAACTGCTCTCACCAATGGGTTGTAGACCCATCTTCTTGTAGGTAAACTAACATCACGACAGCACGAGTGGCGAAAGCCGCTCTGTCCACTACACATAGATTGATTTCATCTAACAGTATCACCTGCACTCACAGCTACCTAGACAAACAAACTTCCCGACTGCTAACGTCTCACCACCAAAAGTGAGAGCAGGCATGGGTTCCTGTTAGTTGGATTTAGAAAGTACATAGTACATACTTATGGACACCAATTCCAAATTAATTGCGATTTTTGTGTCTCGAGTATCATCACACATCAATATAATATCATTGGCATACTCCAAATCACTTTAGCAACAATAAACTGCTGTCGCGTTGGTTTTCTGCAGAACACTTGTAAAATGCACTAGGATTAATAATACCGTTATCTAGCTTCAGTGTAATAATAATAATAGGATACAGTCCGCTCAGTTATTCTTCAGAAAGTACACTTAGAATGGTCTAATTTACTGATGTCATTTCATTAAGCGATATGCGCAAATCAGAAGTCAAGGAATATTGTCACATTAGGATTGAAAAGGTAGGCAAACGTCCTAATGTGGTTATGATATCAAAGATATTCGGAGTACTGGTAACTCGTAACTTTCTCATCTGCTACTTATCTCATTTTATTAATAAGTTAATAGCTGCATTAATGTAGTACCTTGGTTCCTTTAGCAGAGTAAGGATGCAAGATGGTGTTTGTGAGCGTTTTGTTCGACGCTACTTATTGTCGAAGAATTTCAAAGATACACTGAATGCATTCGAAATCGAGTATTCGAAAGAAAAAAATAGAGGGAAAGTAATTCGCTTTGGTTAATAATGGCGTATCCAGTTTCAGCCATTGGATATTATTGATCAACTTCAAGAAGCGATCTACGATTCTAATTTATCTCAGTTAACCAATCAGTGGAATTTCTTAGAAAATACACTATTTCACCGGTTATCGGGTGACAAACAACTTGCTGCCAATGAGCTCAAAGTGCATGTTTTTCGTACATACTTAGTGCAGGCTAAAATAAAGAAACGTCAAGCTAAAATGACTGAGTTTTTCGAATTACTTTCTTCGCAGTTCTCCTTTGGAAAAGAGGAATGGCAAAGTTGGTGTGGTAATGTTTTATTATTACGTTGATTAATCTACACACAGCTTTGCCTTACACAGCGGATCCAAAAATGCATTCAGAGTTTTTTATGTATTTTACAAAGTCATGGATGGATGTATTGATTCTATCACTAACAAACTTCCTCTGTTTGATTAATTATTCTGAAAGTAACCAAAGCAGAGTATTTTTTGAGACAGAGTTTCCGAACCGAAAGAATAAAGTAAGTTCAGCCTATCGTTGTTACTTCTGTACATAGTTTGTAGTCGAGAACTACGAATAAAAGGCTGTATATGCAACAAGCCCAATAGTTAGAGTAATTTGTTCCCACTTCTAGCAATGCAATCAGATATGGAAAATGTTTTTATTAGTTAGGGTTTTGTTTCTACATTTTAAACACATGTTTAGTACTATAAGCGTCTTCCCGGTACGCTGCTCGGTCACATACACTGATGTAGAAGTATCTTTCCATTAGTCGAGAGAAATAGCGAAACAAACACTAGGCTCATGCACTTTTAGCATTCAGTTCAATGTTGCAATCCCTTAAACCGTTATCTAGCAGCAGTTTCTGTACATATCATAAGTAGCGAAGAGAATATGATGGTGAAAGAAGCATCATGTGTTGTGTAATATATTAATTTATCAGAATCTACTAAAAATCCCATTTTCATTTTAAAAATTTTGTATTTCTATAGTCAAGCACAAACGAAAAGACATCAACGTCAGGAAATCAGTTACCATTTGGAGAGCTCCTTGATGACTTTAATGAACTGGGAACTATCCGAACAAATTCAAAACTTTCGTGACCATTTCAAATGTCCAGGAGTGTGAAACAAGTGTCGTTTTTGTTAGTAACTCATGTATATCGCGTAGTTCTACATATGACTGACTATTGAACATTTTCAACTATATTTCTGAACAATCATCAACGTTTCATACTTGACCTTAAATGTATCTGCTAAATGCCTTTCTCGACGGGGGTGGGTAATGTAATCTACTTTTATTGATTACTTTTTTTTCATTTCCCCGGCTCTGAAATCCCATTTTCCGCCAAACCTATTCATTTCACACACTCTTCGGTTTTGCTGCAGTTAAAGATGTTTTGCCTTATTAATTCGTTCCTCTCTTATGTTAGTCCTGTATCTCTAAGTGTGTGATTAGGATTCGACCTTTAAATTAACTGAGAACTAAAGAAGAGGAAAAAATCGTATTTAGTAGTCAAAAAAGTTGAACCTCGAAGTGTTTCACTGTAATGGGAAGACGTATCCGTGATGAATGTAAATTCAGTGGTTAAAATGAATAAAGCCATTAATAATAATAATAATAATAATAATAATAATAATAATAATAATAATAATAATAATAATAATAATAATAATAATATAATAATAATAATAATAATAATAATAATAATAATAATAATAATAATAATAATAATAATATAATAATAATAATAATAATAATAATAATAATAATAATAATAATAATAATAATAATAATAATAATAATAATAATAATAATAATAATAATAATAATAATAATAATAATAATAATAATAATAATAATAATAATAATAATATAATAATAATAATAATAATAATAATAATAATAATAATAATAATAATAATAATAATAATAATAATATAATAATAATAATAATAATAATAATAATAATAATAATAATAATAATAATAATAATAATAATAATAATAATAATAATAATAATAATAATAATAATAATAATAATAATAATAATAATAATAATAATAATAATATAATAATAATAATAATAATAATAATAATAATAATAATAATAATAATAATAATAATAATAATAATAATAATAATAATAATAATAATAATAATAATAATAATAATAATAATAATAATAATAATAATAATAATAATAATAATAATAATAATAATAATAATAATAATAAAATGACACTAACTTATATTAAGAACTTTAGATGTGTACTTCTATACCACATTCTAATTACAAATATCATTCTGTTCAACAGTATATTCTAAAAGTATGCCTTTAAGTCAAGAATATTTGATTGGTTAAGTTGTGAAATCGAACACAATATACTTTAACTTCGCTTTATTAAGTTTTTGAGTGAGTGAATGGGATGTATTTAGCACTACCAACCAGTTTTTTCGTAATCACTATGTTCCACTATTTTATATTAGTTGTTACATCAGATTTAGGGTTTCTAAAAGACTGCGATTAAAACATTTTGTTATTTAAAATATACATACAAGAAATGTACAGTCATTAAATTACACAAGTTGAGTCAACTAATTTGTCCTTCTACCATTGAATAACGATCAATATCAGACAATGGCTGCTTTACTCGTCCAGGTGTTATTGGTTTCAGTCGATCCAAACCGAACTGGTTGGCCGTACTATTTCTACTGCTTCGTTCCAACAGAATTGGTATTGTAGGGTCCCTTGGAGGATGTGAAGGGGCAGTGCCTGAACTTTCAGTCATTGTACGTATCCGGCGTTTGTGTATAGGATTGAAAGTATAGGTAGGCTTTGATTCATTTTCCTGAGCGCTTCCATCTTTAATTGGTGTTTCATCCGTAGCACGTACACTGCGTTCCATAGAATTTAAAAAAGTACTCAGAATACCTAGATCGATACTGTAATACCTTGGTCTTAATAAAACACAAGCACTAGGAGGTCGTACCATTGTTGTAAATGATTCGTCTTTATTGCTATATAATTCTAAGATACTAGTCATCTCATACCTGTTGCGTACATGTAGTCCCTCATTATGTAATGTAGCAATTGGAGTATTTGTGTAAGCAGTAAACTGAGGTTTATCTTCAGTCTGGAACACGCATGAACCATGGGAACCACGTTCGCACTCGATTTCTGACTTATTATTCCCAGGATTGAATATCCGATTTGCTGACCCTATTCGACTAAGAGGTGCTAAAATGAAATAGAAAGATGACATATTAGTCGAAAAAAAGCAGGTTGTGTGACTTTCATGTAACTTAACTAGCAGTCAAATGGAAAGTCACTTACTTAATGGGGCTGATTCACTAAGTTCATATAGACTCTTCGGTGTTCCGGTTGCAGAGGCCATAATTGATTGATATGGTTCAATCAATTCATTCCAAATGCTACCCGTGGAAATCGGACTTAACACTCTAAGCTTATTTCCAGTGAGTTCTGATGTATCTTCAGGAGTTAGTGAGTGATTTATGTCCATATTAACTGTTATATCTACGGGACCTGAGTCGCTTTTGAATTTTCGATACCTAAGACCCGTCGGCAAAAAGCAATCTTCATCTTTAGTCGGTTGGTCATAACCTGTGAAACCAAAAGGAGGCTTTCTTGATGATATCCGAATTTCCTTTTCTGAAAGAATATGTTGAGACTGTTTCATATTCCCTTTTACTGCAGTTGTGAAAACACCACCAGTTTTATCATTGTCGAAAGAACAATTTTCATCCTGTCGAACAGTACTTGCTGCATTTATGTACTCACGTACATGAGAATAAGCCATGGACATAAGGGTAAGGTTAGTTGCAACTTTAACTGCAAATAGTCTAAAAAAAATAAAGTATCTATTTAAAATCATTGATAACCAATACTTATTAAGTTGACTAAACAGTTACACAGACCCCTACACTTCAAACGAGATGGATCCCCTAGTTACACTTTCTTCCGTTGATATGAAGGACGGTCACACGATCTTTTTGTGTTAGCTCCCTACTTGTTGAGACCTTACCACCGGAGAAGGAAATCTATGGGATAAGGCTATGTATGTATTTCGAGGGTCGGTCTTTTCTAACCGCACCCTTCCTTTGTGGGAAGGCAGTATCGCTGTTATGTTGGTTGTCCGAAAGAAATACCTTACTGCCGTCACACCCCTGTACAACTTCGCCCTCGGACCTTGGGTTTGCTGCTTTTAGTCTTCCAGTTCTTTAACCGACCCTCTTGGTATGGTAGGACCTTAAGAAACTATTATTCCAGCCAGTATAGCCCGATTAGTTCGTCACGATAGGCAAGCCCAACCAATACGTCAAGGTAGCAGCAACGGTCGGGAAGCTGATTATCTTGACATGTTGAAGAAAATTTGTGGTTAAGGAGGATGAATTCAGTGGAGTTGTCTTTTGAAGTGAATGGTTTATTCATTTAAACCATCCAGTTCAGAGAACTCAGCTTCACTAAACTCACTATCATCTAAACTTGTTTTCCCGAATCACTTTTTACCGACGATAATTTATGAATATAACTAACAATTTGACTGTTTCGTTATTCGGAAACGTAACCGTGATCTGAGCATAATCAGTATAGCGGTATCATAACAAAACTAACAAATGAATGGTTGTGTAGGATCGTTACCCAATTATCTTCTAAAAAGCTTCGTGTTTTGCACACTTCTAGTGAGATTATATATATATATATATCAACATTATGATGTGGACAAATAGAAACTTTATAGGCCCCTTTCGTAGAGTTGTAGTTGTAACACGACAAAAAACACATTATACAACGAAAAATATCATGAACGTATTATTCGCATGGGCATATATCTACTTATTTTAAAGGTCTGTCATTAGATTGAGAGCTTGCAATTATTGGTTCGAAGACAAATTGGAATAAATAATACCTTTCATTTATCATGTGCTAAACAGATAGTCAACTAAACAAAAGCATGAAATTTATACTACAGAGAAGATAAGGCAGTGTGTTTTTATTGATAAGTTAAAGTATTTCTTATTTATTACTAACATTTGTTTTATTGTGTAACCATTTCTTTATATACCTTTTTCTTGAATTCTTTTAATGTTCTGAATAGGAAATACATTTGTAACATTTTATTAATTCGCATTTTTGCTGTAATATGCTGATATGTGTCCATAATAACTTTTAATCAAATTCTTTGATGTATCTTCATCTCATTTTGCAGTTTTGATTTTTAGACATTATAGGTCGTAAACAATCGACGAGAATGAATTCGTGTTATTCTACTAAAATCTTTGGTCTTGCTCTCTTCAAGTTACTAAAAGGAACTATATGTTGTAAACACTACGGAATAATACAAAAATGTATATGGCTAATCATAAAAGAAATATTAGAAAGAAAATGGCATCAATAGCCTTTAATATTAAGCATCTTTTTTCTCTAGCATTTGAAAAACGCCTATTGCGGAAAATTTCAAAGCAATAACTTACACAGACACAACAAACGGTAAAGTAAGGCAAAGAGTGCTTGGATTTCTTATTGTTTGAAAAAGCATAGCATTAATTAAACAACTAAGGGGGATCGGAGTAAGACCCATACGACGTGAGAGAAGGTCAGAGTAATCTGATGTATTCTAAAAAATAAATGATGATATATAAAAAAATCAAAACATCGTTTCAGTAATAAAACAAAGAATATCTAGCTATGCATAATTCAGGAATGTGCCAAATAAAGTCCTGGAATATATATACGCTTAAACCATAGAGCTCCCGTTATTTACGTTTTCCACTTAATCTCCCACGCGAATTAGAAACTAAGCTGGAGGTTAGCATCTTCCTGTTGTAGATATTTAGGGCAAAACTGGCCAATTTTTCTATATGAGGTAGTTGGACGGACACCACAATATCGGCGACATCCATAAGCTGAAATAGTAAGACTTAACGCCAATGTTCAAAAGTTATCACACCACAGACCAAAATTTATGGGAAAACAGAAAGTGAATGTATTTGTGTCGCTGCAATCAAAGTCACTCAGTGCGTTCTATTCACTGATTCAGATGATTTTACCACCCTCAATCAGGATATTTCTAACTACCATCATGGCTCAAACCAGAGTTCAATGACTTTATAACTGTTGTCATGTTTCATGAGACACCCAGCTTTATCTTTCTCCGGTCAGTAATTCACATCAACGTAGATGATGACTAGACATGCACAATCACAGTCGATGAACGATTGTAGTGTCATGGATTAATCTGGCCTTTTTATCTAGTACGGATAACTCGATTTATAGACTTGTTAACTTACTAGTTACCATTTAACCGGTGTGGATTTCATTATGAATATTAAAACTGACCAATTCGTCAGTAAACTAGACAGGTTAGTTCAAACTTTTTTATGAAGTGGTTTACTAACACATGGTATACAAATGGTCGTGAACAATCTTCTAAATCGATTATTCTAAATCGTTACCCACTGGAATAGTGGGTTTCCAATGGCGAGAAATTAATGAAAGTCACCGTTTTAAAAACTAACCTAGATACGACATATGAGCATTAGCTGGTTATAACAAGAATACCTTTGATATTCATTCAGTCATTAAAAAAACAGTCAGTTGAGCATTATAGGTCTATCATTTTTGAAAAGTGTCAGCTTGCCAAATAAACTTCGTGAGCATGATTTACCATTGAGAGGAAAAACACGTTTACAGCATTTTCAAACAGCTCAAAATATTCATCAGTACAATCTAAAAAATGTTTAAGTTTCATGAGAAGAAAATCGTTACTAACCTTCCCCTGATGGCATAATAATAGGTCGTATGCAATGCTCACAGTATACTCCTCATAGACCTATCATAAAAACGATAATAACATTGACAATTAACAACTGATAACTAATAAATTTGTTTCAACAGAAGCTTAATATAATTCCCAGTTGGTATGATGACGAATTTCATAAGAGTAAAATCGAATGTCTAGAAATGTGTCGATGGAGTTTGCTTCCTAAGGAAAGCTGACGAAAATACATAACATTTGACCCAGTTAAAATAAACGGTTTTCCAACATTGCGTGCCAATTTAAGCTGAGATGGATGGTGACTAAGAGTGGAATTCAGGATGCGCATTTGGTCCTATTTTGGACCCAGTTCGATGTAATCACATTTTGGAGACCTTCAGTAGACAAACCGGATTTAGCGTACAGGGTGACTAGAGTTGAGAGAAAATCCGAGTTACTAAATAACTGGATTTAAGAGATGATGTTTGTTTCTCTACCGACTCAATTAAGAGCACCAACTGCAAAACTAGCTTTGGTTTCATTTCAGATAACAGATATTATTCGGAACTATTGTGAGGATATGGTCGGTATCTAACTAACTGCACTTTATCATATGAACAGGTGAAGTCATTTCTTTACGAATCGAATGAAGTTGAGTTATAATAGAATGGACAAATGAACTGGCTACACAGCTTAAATGAACCAAAGCGAACTATGCAGAAATGTCACTGTTTTGTTTCCGAAGTCATAAGTATAATCACTATACCAATCGGAAAATAAATCAAAATTATCTTACATTAAGTATACCGTATAGTTAAGCTGATTTTATTAATTAACTAGCATATTGCATCTGAAAATTCACCTAATTTCGTTATGATAAAATATTTAAAAGAGTGAAACTCACATTTGAAGGGATCACATTAAATTTGGTAATGAACGAATGCTTTATCCAATCCACAGCAACTTCTGCTAGAAGAATATAGGTTACATCAATAAGAATTGTTTGAAGATCATCTATTTAGAAAAAATGGAATAGAATAAATTCTTACTCAGTGTATTAATAAAAACAATTCATCCACTACAATTTGAAAATATGAACTAGTCCAACATAATAATAATAGCTTAATTGTATGTGTCTGTACTACAAAAGACCCCATCACTAGAACAAGATTGAATTGTATTTGAGACAGAGAAAAAAGCAAATTCCATGTTGACGTGAACGAATCTTTCATCGATATATCAATTAGATTACGTGAAGTACAACAGGTGAGTGAAACAATAATCTAAGCTGAATTCAACAAGAACCTTGACTAAATTAGAAAAAAATTCTGAGTATATTCATCACTTTTTTTAGAAAAGCAACTGATGAGAATCAGTGACTGATGGACTTTACCTGTGTCGTGTGTGGGGAAGTTACCCAACGAAGACAATGGGAGATGGTTATGTAGTATGATGATCGGTTGAACATCGTTGGACGCCAACTCAGTGGTCCAGAGGTAAGTATTCAGAGCGCGAAACCGGAAGCCCTGGGTTCGGTCCCTGCATTCGGGGTCGTGGATGTACATTTCTGGGGGGTCCCATGCTGGGACGGGATGGGCGTCCAGTGCTGATCGCTTTATGATTTTGATGAGTCATAAAGTCGACCCAATTTATTAATCAATTACGGAGATCATAGACAAATATAGGATCAATAATCAGGTCGGAAGGGGAGACAATCGAAGTAAATATGTCCACAACGATAGGCATAAGGTCAACAGTAGTCAATCAAGATCGACAGACCAACCTGTCAGTTACTTGTGGAGTAATTAGAATATCTTACTTCTACCTGAATTCTGTGCTGATGATGTCGTTAAGAAAAACAATGAAAGCTCTACGGTTGAACAATCGAGCTCAGAAAACGAAACTATCAAGTAAAGGTTTATTTTATGTTAGATAACCAGGATACACGAGGCCATAAATCCTACTATAGCAGTAGGCCCCATGATTAAAATGATATTGATAATTACGGTGCTACCTTTGAAGCTATTACGAGTTCACTTAGTATGCGAACGGAACAAAGACTGGTGACCATAGACCAATAAGCTAGCTCTTTGATGCGTCCCAGTCCCGCTAACTAGAGGAAGAAGTCCAAGCTTGGAACGGGAAAGTATATTCCGCAAGCCAGAAGCATGAGTGAATAATAACAGACACAAATCCAACGTAGATATACAGCATAAAACTGTCCTTGGGAAGCGTAGCAAAAATAGCATACTAAAAATACACAACGGACTAATAGCGTTAAAAATTCTCCCAAGTGGGAAGTACGACGTGAACGTGAAAAGTGCACTCTTGGCGCGAAAACAAGGAAATTTAAATTTCCAAAATAAAATTATAAAATTAAGGCATATACCAAGTTAGTTCCGGGGATCTAACATTCCCAACATAAGGTTTATTTAATTATCAATAAATCTGATCTTTCTAAACTGAATAATATATAGTACATTCCAATAGACAACTTTACAATTGTGAGCTAAATGTCTATTTCATTGATTCATATCTCTATCCAATCTACTATTCTATGCATTATATTTATGCAATTATGTGAAATAGATACAATTTAATTCGAAACTATACCCTAGGAAATAAACATCATTCAACATAATGATAATTATTAACTTATTAAGAAAAAAATATTTTTTTGATTGAGATCTTGAACCAATTGATGTTAGACCATCACAATTGAAAACCTGGAAGCACTGGACGGCCGTTTCGTCCTATTGGGGGACTCCTCAGCAGTGCGCATCCACGATCCCGCGAGCTTGATTTGAACCCAGGGCCTTCGGTCTCGCGCGCGAACGCTTAACCAACTGGACCACTGAGCCGGCATCCAATGGTGATAGTTTCTAACATCAACCAATCCACGAAATTGCGCGACCAACTTCCATTGTACTTAAGTAGATAACTTTCTCTACCAAACAAGGATTAGCTTCACTGGTCACGGCTTCTCACTAGAACTCCGAGAATCCCCTCACGAAGCTAGTCACTAGTGAGCACATGTTGATTACTAGTATAGGGGTTGTGGAGATAATTAAGTTTTTGATTGAGATCTTGAACCAATTGATGTTAGACCATCACAACTGAAAACCTGGAAGCACTGGACGGCCGTTTCGTCCTATTGGGGGACTCCTCAGCAGTGCGCATCCACGATCCCGCGAGCGGGATTCGAACCCAGGGCCTTCGGTCTCGCGCGCGAACGCTTAACTAACTGGACCACTGAGCCGGCATCCAATGGTGATAGTTTCTAACATCAACCAACCCACGAAAAAATATTTATATTCATCAATTCCAAAAAATATTTATTTATTTACTTCAGATAGTTTTATACTACATTTAATCACTAAATGAGTTCATCAATCAATATTTTTTTTCTAATCAGTTTATAATCATTAACAACATGATATTAGTAAATTTGTCTACTTATTTAAATCAATAAATTGAAAATATCATCATAAATATATGTAAATAACTAATTTAATAAACACCCTTGAAATAAAATCGATTATTTAAGAGAAAGAAAAAAACAAAAAACAAATACTCTCATCAGCAAACAATAGAAAGTCATTAATCAAACTATGTAATTCATACAACGAAATAATCACTGTATAAATAATAATAATAAACGATAAGGAGAACTAATTTTATAATTAACACTAACATTTTATGCTTTCTGTTTATCTCAGAATAATGTGGCATCAGACCATAAATCACTAATTATTGGTCTGAGCCATGTTGGTAGATGTAGACTACATTGTTGGGATCCGTTTGTCTATCGTAACCAATGGTTGAAGACATGCTGAGTGACATGTCTCAGAATCCATTATAATAGCGTAGGTGTATACACCCTTTGTCTTCTCTAAAACCGTGAGATTAAAATTGCTTTATATCTTTCTTTCTACGAACTAATTATTTTTCCCTGTAACACATTCTTATACGGAATCTTTTTTTAAACATATTACTACCATTGAAGTAATACTTCTACGAATTTGGTACTCATCTTGTTGTGTTAATGAGGTGTGGCAACTTGGACCGATGCATATATGTGCCTGGTTCTACGTTGTAGCTGACCGACTGATTGACTGACAGATAATGTGCAAGAGTATCTTTTTTATGTATGAGTGTATGTTGAGGTTTAGTATAATCAATTATTAACTAATTGGACACTGAATAAAAGAATTGATATACAACACCATGTAATTAATTCACGAAATTGTTTTTCTTTTTCAATTGCAATGGTGAAAACTGAACACAAATAGAAATTAGTGAATATGCATAGGCTTTTTTCTGCTGAGACAACAGTATAGTAAAAATCAGTGTTTTCGGAGATCTTTAATGTTAGCATACTAGTACTATAGTCAATAAATGTACTAGCCGAACTAACAAGAAACTCATGATATGTTGAAGGCTATTTTCCGATATGAAACACTGAAAATAATTCATAGGGGTCAAACGTTTTAGTGGGTGCCGTCGAGATCGCAAAACCTGGATATATGTCGATGAAAACACTGGATTTATGTGAAATTATTAGTTCTTCCCAAATGTGAATTCTGAAAACATGAATTTAGAAGAATCGTCTGGAGTTTAGATAAAAGGAAGCAGCTGAAAACTCAAACTTCTCAGAACTTCCAACAATGTTTTAAACAACAGAAACGGGAAAAATGCACCGCCTAAATGGGTTATACACTAAAGGGGATAAGCTTAGTGTATAATAAATTCGATAAAATGAAGTCTTTACGATCGAATTTAGTGTTTTTATGCAATAAACTAAGTGACACAACATTGATCTCAGTTACTCGAAAAGAATGAACCATTTCATTCTCTGAAAATCTAGTACACTATCGAAAACACTATACACTCTGCTCTCTTGCCGATTTACACTTCAGACTGATAACATTACATTATGTAGTGTATTAAAGTCATAAAAATAGTCCATGGTGACATAATATAGTTAAGACCTAGATATATTACATAATTTACCAATTGTCGTGTTCGAATAACTGAATCATGGAATTAAAGTACAATTATCATCTGCTTTACAAATGAACTTGAAAAAAAAAATAACTTTTCATAATTCATGAATATATAACACATAAATAATACTAATCATATGGTTTATTTTTTACCTAAATTCCATCCACTTTCATTCATATTACGGCATACAATAATTGAAAACCAAACACAATAGTGAAATCGTTCACGCACATCAGCACAAGCAATTTGAAATAAATTTGTTTTTCCCATTTTACGAAATACATTACCTTTTAATTCAACAAACTATTCAAATAAAAAGCATCAAAATTTATATATTATAAAGGGGGTTGATGCGAAATAAAAGGAAAAGCAACAAGATTTAGTTATTAAATACAATCAGTTAATTCACCTTAGAACCACTCAAAAGTTTTGGCATAAAAACGCACATTAAATCAATCTTAAAATGATTATCTAATTATATTAATGATAATAGCCTCAATCCTAAGAAAGTGTGATAGAACCGAGCTGCGTATTGTTTTGCCGTAACCCTTTCTATCACACTTGATCGATAGCGGTCATATAGTGGACAGAAACAAGTCGTTCAAAGTTATTTATCGTATTCCCACTAGTTTTCCTAATGGTGTTCGATCTCGTCTCTTACATATAGCAGAAGCTATAGGAATCCGAGCCAACAAGCCAAGTTTTTGTGTTCAGAAGAAATTTGTAACACCCTTATCTCTCCCTTGGCCTTAAGTAATAAATGAATTTATTTATTCTTTTTCTTTCTCTTCGTTTATTATTTTTCATCACCCCCTCCTACCACTTTATTTTCTCTCAACTATACGTTTCATGGTCCAATTATCTGAATATTTCTTATTACGTCATCTTATAATTTTATAATTGTTATCTCAGTTTCTATATTTTTCTAATCATTGACCTATTTCCGATTATGTAACATTGGTTTGAACCTTTATTATTCTTATCAAAACTAATGCACCTGTTGTCACACCATCAATTTGTATTTTTCACGTTTCACTTATTATGTAATCGTTTTCATTGTTATCGTTGACTTATAAACTACCTTGATTGGTTTAATAATTTCATATATGCATATAAATATTACTGTATATTAGAGTAAAGCCTGATATATATATATATATATATATATATATATATATATATATATATATATATATATATATATATATATATAAGCCTTCCATTTTAACTATGATCTAAATAGAATAGAACAGCAAAATATATTGGGAACTCACATTGTTCGAAATAAACACAGTGATCAGTGATTTATTTTGTGAATTGAATGCTACATTTAAAGTAGTAACTTGACATAGTAGAAGGAAGCAGTGGGCTACTGTAATTTCGATGGTAAGAAAACAATGAAACAATGTAAAAGAATACGGAACGAATAACTGGAACAATCAGAAGGAAACATCATAAGATTAGCGAAACTGTTTTCTTCAAAAAGAACACAAGAATTGATGAGTTGAACAGTTACATAACTATGTATAAACTATGACTGAATAGAACCGTGTTGTTTGACAGAACTTTGAAATAATACGTTCAAAAACTGACAAACTAATTACACGTTGGAGGTTGTGACTGAACTAACTTGATTGGAGTTCATAAGAGTGAGTAAAGCCTAGCCTCGAGTGAAGACGCCAGACAAACCATAAGTATGACTTTAACGGTTTTTATTATCCTAAAACCAAATATCCGACCTGATAGCGGACAATAAAATAACAACACCAATAGTATAAGCACCGCCAGAATAAGTAAGGTTTACAAAAAATTAATAAAGAATACTCATGATATTTCTGACTGGGCTGCTCCAAACTTCTGTTATGTAGCACAATTTTATTCAACCACAGTTAAATTATGGAGGATTAACCTGACGTAATTTCATTTGACCAATATACCAACTTACTCTCATAACCACTAGGAAAAATGGAGGTGACATTTCTCTTGCAAATAAGGTGATTTACGTCGGCCAGGTCTGCTAAGGGTTTGGTCTTCAACAATGATAGTTAGAACATATACATTATCTGCCATTTACCTGAACCAAACTCATCAATTCGCTATATTCCACATCGAAGACTGAGCAAGAGTGTAATGTTACAGACAGCGAGATTACCTGTCATATTTTGACTTCCGAGTGCTACTACTACTGCCTGTAGTTACCGTTTATTAGTGTAGCCTAGCTATCACGTGTTAATCTTATTCCAGAGTACTACTTACGCTGTCAGTCAGTTAGTCAGTCAGTAACAACGTAGAACTTCGTACGTACGTACATCAGTTCGAGTTGCCATACCACATTAGCACAGAGATGCAGTTGTCGACTCAAATTCCGTAGTGGTAGATGTAGTGAGAGTGTAAGCTGTAATCGGGAAGATTAGGGTTTAGAGATGTTATTTAGAGAGTATAAACCAGTGGAAAAAAATTGGAAAGAAAATAAAAGACATGAAGAATTCAGAAGATTAGAATTTGAGAGAACACAAAGAGTGGATGCACCTGCGCCATTACAAACGATTTTGAGCCATGTCATTCAAGGTCTCTAACAATCGGTTGCTATCATCTCGTGGTCCCCAACCAGGTAGTCTACACCTACCAATATGACTCAGTCCACTTGTCAGTGACTTCATGGACTTGTGCCGTGTTTTAGTATAGCTGCCCCTAGCTTTCTTCCAACCTACTCCTACACCATAAAGCATCGCACATCGAGGCAGTCGGTGGTTGGGCATACGTAACACGTGTCCCAGTCATCTGAACTAATGAAGTTTCACTACTTCATCAATTGATTTGCCATCGTTACCTAGTACCCATTTCCTAACAACTGCGTTGCTTACTCGATGGACCCAGGATATACGAGCAATGTTTCGAAGACACCTATGATCAAATACTAGTAACCTACGAATATCCTCTACTCATACCGGGTATGTTTCACTGCCGTAAGGTAGGATGGAATGAACTACTGCGCAATAAACACGTCCTTTGGTTGATAGACAGATATCTCGCCTATGCCATAAATGACGCTGTACAACTACTGATTGTTACATATCCCACTAATTACTACTGGACCAACTACTCGTTGTAGACAGTTTCTAAATAAACAAAATTTCATTACATCCGGAAGTCGGACAATCTAATTACCACAGTTAAAGTGACGTAAAAAAGTCGAAAAGGACTGAAGACTGTTCAGTGCAACGTACTGTAAATGATTATTATCACAGAATAACATTAACTAGTTAAGGACTACATGGTTGCAATTTCTTAATTTGTGATTTTCTTAAATGAAGAGAAAAACCGATTATTTAACATTAATCCCGTCCTAACACAATTCACAAGCTCCAACATATTAGTGAAAGGTCTGTTGATCTGTAAAAGTCAAATAAATCAGGAGAGAAACAATTGGTGAGTGTATCTCGTCCTAGTAGAGTCTATTTGTAACAAAACAATTTGATTGACTTGTCATAAAGTTACTTTTACTTACAACGAACATATTCGAAATGCCATTATCTGATTCACACTGTACATGTCTTATTCTCTTTTCAGTGGTTCATTTAATTCACTATTTTAAGACATACACCAAGAGCATGTAGTAAAAACCATACGGTAAAAATTGAATACATATAATAAGCATTTGCACTGACTTACTGAGACAAAAGAAGGCAAAGCAGTACTGTAAAACAATATCACGCCAGAAAATGAAACTATTTTCCTCTAGATCATTAGATAAAACTGAATCAGATCGTGGTTTACTGATAGTAAATAGTAAATCATCCAAGGCATCTTGACAAACAGCAGATAATAAACGATCTGCGACCTAAAACAAGATGAAATCCTGTGAATAACTACAAAAATAATAAGCCTGTATAAATGTTGACTATTCCCTAAATTAATTAATTAACCATTATAAGATTTTTTTAATGTCACATTATCTGATCCTAAGCCGTCTCAATAAGCTTGTCAGTAACCTTTGTGACCGTGATTTTGAATATTGTAAATGTCAAATCTATAACACGATCAGCTTCTTAAAAGTAGGATAAACGTTTTGTGAACTCTGTCAAACCAAAAAATATCAAACTCATCTTTATTAAGGTATAGATTTGTGTACCTGATAAGTTGGGTGAATAACTGTACAGAAGCAGCTGAAACAATCTTCTAACCTGATCCAACAAAATTTGGATAATACTGCGATTCTATTAGTCAGTCAGCTACAACGTAGGACCAGGCACATATATGCATCGGTCCAAGTTACCATACCTCATTAACACAACAAGATGGACATCGGATTCATAAAAGTAGTTCATTCAGTGACGGTAATATATAAAAGAAAGATTGCAATAAGGAAATAGTACACGAAGAAAGAATTAGTTCGTAGAATGGAAGATATGAAGCGATTTTAATCTCTTAGTTTAAGGGAAGACAGACAGTGTATACACCGACGCCATTGTGATCGATTATGAGACATGTCACCAAGAGTCTCCAACCATTGGTTACGACAGTCAAGCGGACCCCAACCAAGTAGTCTGCATCTACCAACATGGCTCAGACTAGAAGTTAGTGACTTCAAGTACTGATGCCACGTTTTGGTTTGGCGGCCCCTAACTTTCTTCCGACCATCCCCGACACCGGTTAGCATTGCACGACGCGGTAATCGGTGCTCAGGCATACGTAGCACGTGGCCCAACCATCTCAGTCGATGAAGATTCGATTCACAACCTCATCAACTGATTTACCACCATTCCCTAATACCCTGCGTCTAAAGTAGAACAGAACGAACTGTCGCGCAGTATACTCGTCCTTTTATTGATAGACGGATATCTCGACTTCGCCATAGGTGGCGTAAGTTGGCAAAAGCCAAGCGAGCTTTTCGAATCCGAATCTATTAGTGTTAGCGATAGGTTAGGGGAGTAAAAAATAAAAGTACACATCTAGTCGATAATCATTTCTGACATGTATGATTTGCAACTGGTTTCTCAGGTAGAAACGATGATACACTAACCCAATTAGATAGAGAAGTGAGATATGCTAAAGGGTGGACTCTGTTTGTCAAGATTCAGCAGAACTTTCTGAAGAAAAAGACAAGCACTATTAGCTGAAAATATGGACTAATTTTCTGGGTGAAATTTATCTATATTTGTGAATGAGTTGTGCATATATTTCCGACCCGGTTTAGCTAATAAAAGCTTTTTAATCACTTGGTTTTTTCACCCACGTAATTAATTGGGTTCGTGTATAGGAAGACTATAATATAAATAACGAGGTCAGACGACTACAGAACATAACAAATGCTTCGCATAAAGCCACACTAATCACGATGAAAATTTAATCTTCTTCTAATACTATGAATGAAAATATTACATTGAAATTAAAATTAAATTTCAAAATATATACAGAATACGCTCACCTCGAGTAAATTGAAAAAAATATAAATTTTTATCACCGATTGTGTTCTTATTTCATGATAAGCCATGGAACTGTCATATTTTGTTAAAATAACAGTACATATACACAATAAAGAAAATTTGATCAGATCACGTAATTCATAATTATACAGTAAAGTTAACCGTGAAGTCTTCGATGGAGGTGTATCACTAAAGAAAGAAAACAAATCAAAGCTAATAATCAAATTAAGTTCAACATATATAATCATTACCATATTTTTAAATTTATCAACTAATGTAGATGGGAAAGATAATAATATTTAAAAACTACATAAACGAAGGCAAGATAGAATAGAAATAACAATATTAGTAGCAAACTTACTTTAGAAAACAGTTTGGGATTTATTTATGGGATGAGTGCAATCTTTTCGTAGAGTCAAAAAATCACGATTTAACCCGGTCCTCTACCTTGAGACACCTTTTACATGCGAGGGATAATGATACAATCCGGCCGCTCAATCTAAAATAGGTGGGGCGGGATTCGAACCTGCAACCTAGTGGTTGAAAGTCGATTGACCTAACCACGAAGTTACTTCCATCTTTGACGCCGTAGATACGCTAGTCTGGTTGTACTAATTCAGGTCTACAAGTCTGTGAGAACAGTCCTACAACATGTTTATGAAACCTGAGTTGAGATGCCCGGCGATCTTTATGTTCGATCATCGTTGTATCCGAAGAATTCCCGACATCAAGAGACAACACTACGTTAGTAATTCTTAGGTTTGGGAGTGAACTGTCGGGTATAGTGACGACAACTTAGTTGGTGTAATCACCTTTGAACACCGGACTTTATGACTTGGGAATATCTTACGAACGTTATTCTAGTGACCTCCACGCCGGACACTATTTTTCGACGCCGTGACGCAGTGGAGGGAGCGAAGAGGTGACCAGTTTATGGCATAGTGTAATGGTATGGATTAAAGGTGTCCAGGACTGTCATCTGTCGGTCCACCAAGACTCCTTAGTTTGGGAGATCCCAGAGGTAGTGTGATTCAGTGGCTTGAGACGTTACAGGACATGGCTCGGAATAGGAGCCAAATGCTTCCAGATGAAGAGGAAATTTGGAAAAAACGTTGAAAGTGGATAGAACATACGTTGTGGGAATCATCAAACTGCATCACCAGGTAAGCGCTAACTTGAAATCCTGAAGGGGAACAGAAAAGAAGAAGGCCAAAGAACACACTGCGCTGGGAATCGGGAACAGACATCAAAAGAATGAACAGCAACTAGAAAGAATTGCTCAGGGCAGAGTTAGATGGAGAATGCTGGCGGGCGGCTTATGCTCCTCCACGAAGGGTAACGGGAGTAAGTATATTTAGAATGAGTTAGTTGATCGGAAGTATCAATTTACTTTTTGGGGACAAACAGAAATTGCAAGGAACTAGGCTTGGTGGTGCTTAAGGATGGTGACCAAAAGTAGTGATCAAACTATAAGTCGAAAACGAGAGGATATTGACTGCCTTTGTACAAACATATTTACTTGGTGCAAAAGACATTTACCAACGTCGCACGCTACCCAACCCGTCTATGAAAACCCCAGATAGAAAGCGTAATTCACTGTTCTTCTGTAATAAATTTATGTTTAACACCATGAGCATCGAATAACGAACAAGTACGGTATATCAGTTCGCGTTTTTACTGTACTTTTATGTTTGAACAATCAGTTTACAGCAAAAGCACAGTGAGATGTATGTAGTTATATGAGCATCTCTTCAAAATAAACGGTAAATAACAATTTTACATACATTTTGGTGACCCTTTGTACAAATGTTTATGTGTGCCCGTAATTTGACTCCATTAAGAATGGCGGTGAATAAACCAAGAAATATAAATCTTCCATTTAATTCCCTATATAATAATGAAGTTAACCCCGTTGGTTAATGGTGGTAATAAAAGCCAAATACTGAGTCGGAAGAGTTTGTTTGAGGAATTCATGTACATAAACAGATAGTAATAGGTGCAGCATGGGGACAGGCTTCTCGACCTACTCTAGTTAAGACGTAACTCAACATCCAAATTCATTACAGATTCGAGTAAACATATAGACATATACGTATTATAATGCATACATGCTCAAAGTCGTACATAAATGGTAAAATCCCGAGAAAAATTAAAATCCACTTGTCTAAAATTAAGGATAAATCGTGTAAGCGTATGCTGCTACAATCTTATTTGGATTTACAAACACTGACATATCACCTATTTGCAGTTAAATGAGAGACTAATGTGTGTAAACAGCATATAATAAATATTTCTTGTTGTATCCTAATCAGTAGAAAATTGGATTTCTGACGTTTTATGACCTAATGTAAGCCACCTCCTCAGAGTAAATAAATAACCGAATTAACACACGCTCAATTTTCTACTGATTGGGATATAACAAAAAGATATTTATTATCCACTCTCTACCCAATGTTCAATTTATTTGAAACTATTAAGGTGAACAGTATATGAATATAATGGATTATCTTTTATGTAACATATGTCTTAGATACTGAAAACGCTACATAAGATTACCTTCAGCCAAAAATACCAGGATCTAGAACTACTCAACCAGATGTTAATCACACAGAATACTATGTCAAACTCACAACCCATATTAAATGCTCTTCAGTTTTTAGAAAAGTATATTTGTTTATTGTATCATGTTCATCATCAATCCGAACATGAGGAGTCTTAAAACTTATAAACACCCTTTTAGAATTTGTTTTATATAACTTATTACCGTATGAACACAACTATTTATGTCGACTAAAATTTGACGAATATTTAAAGAAATCAATTGTTATTCAATAAAAAATAAAGATAAATTAGTAAAAAGAATCATCTTTCCAAGGATATCATTTTTCTCTAAACATTATGATGTAATCGCTTTTAATCCTTCTATAAACCCAGATATTTATCAAGTTACTAGAAAGGCAATCATACAGCTTTATTAAATGGTATCATCAAAAAAGAAAACCTTCTTCACTTAATTACCTTTTTTCTCTGTCGAATATTTAAAGCTTAGATAGATTCGCAATAAGTACGCTGATAATGAAATTTCACTAAGAGTTCTGAAGATTTTCTTTAAGTCCTTACGTATCTTTTTTTTAAGTTTCTATGTACAGTAACACGACTCTTTAAATTCACAAAATACGTCACATTCGCCAATATTTCACTACTTTTGAATAACAAAAATCAATAGTGATAACATACATATTGGTTCTGATTAACAGTGGCTTGATAAACTGGAAGTTTATACTACAATATTAATACCATACAGATTATACGGGCTTACACTATTAAAGGTAATATCGGTTTAAATTCATACATACACGACTGAAAGTTATTAACTATGAGATATCGAGAAATGAAGTTTTATTGTTCTAAACAGTGAAATAGGATAACTACACGGTTCTGTTGATCGGGCAAAACAAACGCAAACTTGTTTTTTGCCAGAACATTTCATTAATTTTCTCTCTCTCAGCTGGTGTGAGGTGTGAAATTTGAACTGATATACACTAGCGCTACGATTTACGTTGATTACTAGTGGTCTCTAGAACATTAATCCATGCATACAAAAAACGACATGAAACTTTTATATCGTACCTCCGATGATGTAGTGTAAAAATATATTTTAAAAAAACCGTGAACTTGAAACTCGTGATAAAACTAAATACTTCAACTAATGTACATCTATTATCGATGTATAAAAAAATCACCTTTAATATAAATGTATTTCAGGTCCAAATAGAAGAAACTTACTGGTATTGATTAAAATATGTGAAAAATTGAAATATTCCACTGGATATTCTTAGCATTAAATTTAATACAGTGAGAAAACAACGTAATGGAAGAAATGTATAAATAACCAGTAAGTGATCCAAACACTGCAGCATCCCATAAACCATAAACTAAATGAATGTAGTGAAAAATTATACAAAAAATCGAAGTATGATTACACCAAAAACACCGGTGTATACTATTAAAAACAAAACATAATAAACTGATCAACTTGAAATCATTCTATGTAAAAAAGAAATGCAGAGATCTTTATGTTAATCTGGACTATCTTTGGAGCCTTTGCTACGTTAAAATGCTTGTAAAAGGTCTTTTATATGAATCTCTAACAGATTACTGTTAAATGCTTTACCAGATTGAGGATGTTTGGCGACTCTTTGTGTTCGGTTAACTTTGCCTCAGAATTCGGTAATAATAGAGTGCAAGTGTTTGCAAGGTCCGTGTATGTGTTCAGATATAGTGACGATAAGTTAGTTGGTGATATTATGGTGAACTACCCACTGTCAAATGGCTTAAACGTCACCTACAAACGTTTCCATGACGTGGCTACAGAAGTATGCTAAGATCATAACGTATCATTCGAAGTAGGTATACAAGTAAGGCATTATGCTATCAAAAAAATAAATAGCCTGTTTATGGTTCACAGTTATTTTTAACCGACAAGCGATATCATAATAATTAACAATGAAAAGAACTGAAAATTAAGACTACATAAGAAAGGTATAAAACATCTGACTAACAAATATCCACCGAAGATACACAAACTAACGTGTTAAAGAATAACTTCCTGTTTTCCACTTTTCCTATTTTACCTACCACATTTACGAGTGTCACAAAGGAAAAGTGTAACAAAATATCTGAACAAAATGAAATGTAAGATAGAATATATTGTAACATTGTACAGCTAACACTTAGAGAATGTCAACAAACCATGGATGCAAGCAGTTTGTAAAAGTGTTGGCTATTTCCAAAAAAAAATTGCTTTCCCAGGAAATGGAACTAAATAAAACTAAAACTATTGAACTATGACAAATCAATCAAGACTGCCGGGAAGGATCAAAAAGATTCATATAACAGAAAAAAGATAAATCTACTTGCAATTCTTCAGTGAAGCATGAGGATATACTTCATACAATGATATCTCCAATCAGAGATGATTGTGGGGTATATTCACCAGATTAAAATGTTTAAGAATGAATTCTCCCAACGTTCAAAGACCTTATAGTGTTCCAATCGCAATTTAGTTTGCTGGCTGTTTTATTTAGTATGATGTTGAGGTGGCAAATCGTCGTCTTCAAATAAAGTAAATAAACCTATAATCTAACAGTACCCTGAATTAAAGCTTCAAAGATGCGATAAGTACTGACTTTTACTTATTACTAACAGAGAATGCTTCATAATCTGTTAAGACTTGGGCGTGCACGGTTCAAACTTCCAAAGTTATCTTCGTGAATAAGCCTCTCTAGGTATAAAATCAGTAGCTCCATATGCATATTTAAACTTTGGATGTCTAGAGTCAGTTGCACGTATCACCACAATTTTACTTTGTAAAGGTATTCAAAACTCTCTTAACATTCCGTTGTTATACTAAAATCAAAGGTAATGTTTTTTAACAGTTTTATAAATTTACAATGGGCTTCATAATGAGGATGACCAGGTTGGTATCAAAATTACTGCCCAAGAAAACTCGAACTTGAATAATAAAACTTTCATATCAATCAAAATCAAAGCTGAAACGAATACCTTGTATTCTAAGTGACTCTATTATGATCATCTTGTTCAACAACTAACAAATCCGGGTACAGAAATTTCAAGACTATTTTTTTGATTCATATCGTTAACTGTTCTGATGAATTTAAGTCGAGCAGATGAATTCAGGAAAGTCAGTCAGTCAGTCGGCTACAACGTAGGACCAGGCACATATATGCATCGGTCCAAGTTACCATACCTCATTAACACAACAAGATGGACATCGGATTCATAAAAGTAGTTCATTCAGTGACGGTAATATATAAAAGAAAGATTGCAATAAGGAAATAGTACACGAAGAAAGAATTAGTTCGTAGAATGGAAGATATGAAGCGATTTTAATCTCTTAGTTTAAGGGAAGACAGACAGTGTATACACCGACGCCATTGTGATCGATTATGAGACATGTCACCAAGAGTCTCCAACCATTGGTTACGACAGTCACGCAGACCCCAACCAAGTAGTCTGCATCTACCAACATGGCTCAGACTAGAAGTTAGTGACTTCAAGTACTGATGCCACGTTTTGGTTTGGCCGCCCATAACTTTCTTCCGACCATCCCCGACACCGGTTAGCATTGCACGTCGCGGTAATCGGTGCTCAGGCATACGTAACACGTGGCCCAACCATCTCAGTCGATGAAGATTCACAACCTCATCAACTGATTTACCATCATTCCCTAATACCCTGCGTCTAACCTCACTATTACTTACCCGGTGATCCCAACAGACGCCAGCAATATTTCTAAGGCACCTGTGGTCAAATACTAGTAGCTTACGAGTGTCTTCTACTCTTAAGGGCCATGTTTCGCAGCCGTAAAGTAGAACAGAACGAACTGCCGTGCAGTATACTCGTATTTTATTGATAGATAGATATCTCGCCATCGCCATAGGTGACGTAAGTTGGAAAAAGCCAAATGAGCTTTTCGAATCCGTGCTGAGATTTCGCCAGACACCAACCCATTAGGGCTGATCAGACTTCCAAGATAAGTGAAGTTGTCAACGCGTTCGACTACTTCACTCCCTATCCTTAGTTTATGTGTTGACGCAGACCAGTCCTGAAGCAACAACTTGCATTTAGAGGGAAAGAAGCGCATTCCAAACATTCTGGCATTGTTGCTTAGTGCTACCAAAAGACTCTGCATTTTATCAGCGTCTTCACCAAACAGGACTATGTCATCTGCGTATTCTAAGTTGATAAGTGGACCTCCTGGAAGGAGATCAATACCCGAGAATTCAGTAGACGAAAATGTTATTTACATCAGTAGGTCTATGATGAAGTTAAACAAAAATGGAGAAAGTGGACAGCCTTGACGGACACCACTCGAGGTTGCAAAAACAGATGACAATTCGCCATAAGCTCTGACTCCACTGGTAGTGTTTGAGTAAAGAGCCTTTACAAGGTTTATGTACTTCTGGGGTACGCCTTTCAATGACAGACACTGCCACAGAATCTCGCGGTCTACCGAGTCAAATGCTGCTTTTAAGTCAAGAAAGACCACCACTGTCGGACGCCGATAAGTATGCCTATTTTCTAGAACCTGACGAATAGTGAATATGTGGTCGATGCAGCCACGACCACGTCTGAAGCCAGCTTGATTCTCTCGTGTTTGCAGTTCACGAGTCTTAGTTAGGCGTCCGATAATTATCGAGGCTAGTATTTTAGATACTATATTAGTTAAACTAATCCCTCTATGGTTGTCACAGGATGATTTTAACCCTCTCTTATATATTGGGACGATAAGTGATTGTGACCAGTCAGATGGAATAACGTCTAACTCCCAGATCTTAGCTAAAATATTAGTCAACCTAATCGCTAAAATTGGACCACCATCCTTAAAGACCTCTGGAGCCAATCCATCTGGACCAGCTGCCCTTCCTCGTTTCAGATTAACTATAGCCTTTTGAACTCCTGCTAGAGTTGGGGGACCTACTTCAATGTTCATTCACACTGTCTGGGAATGGAGGGTAGTTGTAGAGTAGCTGAAGGCCAGCTGAACTGTTCTCTGGAGTGTTCCGCCCATCGTTCTAAACGTCTGGACTGGGAGCAGATCAAAGTGTCGTCTTTTTCCGAAATAGTCCGACTTACACTTGACTTATTAATTCCAGTTTATTTTATTAGTCTGTAGAGCTGTCTTGTGTTCCCTATAGCCGCCGCCTTTTCCATCTCTTTTGCTTTCGTTGCCCACCACCTAGATCTGATTTGTATTCGCTCTTCATCGTGTTCAGAGCCTGATGGGATGAGTTTACGAGAATCCATCAGTGCAATAGACCTAGAGGAAATCCATTGGTTCTTTGTGGTTACAATCTGTGGTTTAAATCACTGATAGATGTCACTGCTGTTCCCACAGCTGTTTGTATAGCTGTCCAAGCAACATCTGGGTCAGCCTCGTTTTCAGAACTACCTAAGTGTGACCTCAGCTGTTTCTGGAACCTACTTTTGGTTTTCTCGCTACTCAATTCAGTTATAATGGGTCTTTTTACTGTGGCTTTCCTGCGTCCAGTGAGGCGCAAGCAGAGGCGTGCCCGTATTAGGGCGTGGTCGGAGTCCAAGTAGGTACTCCAGAATGAACGACAATCTTCTACCGACCCTCTCCAACGATGACTGATGGCAATATGGTCTATTTGAGTCCATCGTTGGTTTGGTGTAGGGGGTCGCCATGCTAGACGATGTCTCTCCTTATGCTTAAAATTTGTGTTTACTAAAAATAAACGACTGTCTGAGCACAGTTGCAGCAGACGATCACCATTATCTGTCCGTTGTGCCGGAATACTAAAACACCCACCTAAATGCCTTTCTGTTTGGTTTAAACTATCTATCTGGGCATTAAAGTCGCCTGCTACGAGTACTATGTCTGAACGTTTAGCTTTCTGAAGAAGTTCAGATAGCTTTCTGTAAAATTCATCTTTCACTTCATCCGAGCTGCAGGCGGTGGGAGCGTAGGCAGAAACGACAAAAAGGCAACGACGTGTGTCCCTATCCTTCCGAGTTCTCACGGAGCCGTTCAGCCGAACAGCACATAAACGACTGTTAACGGGGATTCACTCTAACAGTGCTTGTTCCGCTCTCATGCTTAATGTTATGCCTACTCCTGCCAGTCCGCGAGAGCTGGCCGTCGGGTCACCAGATACACGGAGGGTGTATCTCGTTGGCTCGCCGTTTTGCCGAGGTGAGGTCAAGTGAATGACCACACTGGAATCCTGTATGCGTGTCCCAGAGACACAGCATACATCAAGGGTACGAGATTCTAGGGTTCTAGCCAAGGAAGCCTGTTGACCGATTTGACATAGGGTGTTTACGTTGAAGGCTCCAATGTGTAGTTTGGAGCGAGGTTTCAGTCGACATGAGACAGTGTTTTGCGCACTAGAATCGTTGGCTGTGGTGACACTTGAGGGGGAAGCCGAAAAAGGAAGTTTAGAGGTGAAGGTCGATGTAGGAGGAATAATAGGAATTAAAGAGGGAGGTTGATTATGAATACAATGGTCTTGGGTGCTATTAGAGGTATGAGGGCGGTTATCACTTCCCGGTTGCCCACACCATGGAAGGGTTCTTCTGGAGGTACCTGAAAAGGAAATTGGATTAGAGGTGGTCTTAGTGACCTGAGAGCGTGACCGCAGTACCCAAGAGACGACTGTTTGAGGTCGGTCACACACGACCTTTTTATGGGTAATTTTTTTGTTAGCTCCGTACTTGTTGATACCTTACCACCGGAGACGGATATCCGTGGGATAAGGCGAGATGTGACATTTTTAGGGTCGACCTTTTCTAACCCCACTCCTCCTTGTGGGAAGGCAGCATCGCTGTCATGTTGGTTGTCTGAAGGAAACACCTTACTGCTATCACACCTCTGTACAGTCAGCAGTACGACTTCACCTTCGGACCTTGGGTTTGTTGCTTTTAGTCTTATCGTTCTTCAACCGACCTGTCTGGCATGGTAGGACCTTGAGGAACGGTTGTTCCAGCCAGTATAGTTCGGTTGCTTCATCACGATAGGCAAGAATTCAGGAAAACAAACATTATTATTATTATTATTATTATTATTATTATTATTATTATTATTATTATTATTATTATTATTATTATTATTATTATTATTATAGAATCAGGATAAGGTAACGAGTATAGCCACAATTCATAGATTATATACGGTATTAATTCTGAACAAAACGGTAATTTACTAAATAAATATGATGGTATTTCATGATTGCTGATTTAGATGTCTTAGAAAACAAACTTCTGAAGTCAACAAGCAATAATGTTAACTACGCAATTATGGAGGCATTTCTGATAGACGAGTCAGGGTAAGAAAGGGAAAACAAGTATTTTATAAATTACTACACTAAAAATAAATTTTTTAATGAAAAAATGCTATCATTTTACATTTTGCATATTCTTCATTCATGTATATATTAAAACTTGTAAAATAAAATAAAATGTATGTGGTGATTGGAGGTGGTTGACAGGAAACCTTGGGCCTAGGTTTCGTGCTACTTGGCACTCATCAGCAGGGTGCACCTGTAATCTTGAGGGAACTGATGCTATCTGATCGATTTGATCTCGTGTCACCTAGCTTTACAGTGAGAAACGTTACTACCGGACGACCCGGGTCGCAACAGACCTCCTGTGGGACTGAGATGTATTTACAAGTGATTGATCACTGGATAGCGATCAATGTCATGTGTGTCAGGTCATTCTTAATGTAAATTGAATTCTATGGACCAAGTCGCAATGTAGCCACTAGTCTAGGTGACTCGATATAACGTGCACTATGTTGAGATGAGATGGTGGTTGGATGTAATCGACAGGAAACCCTGAACCTAGGTTCCGTGCTATTCTGTCCAGGGTTTCCTGTCGATTACATCCAACCACCATCTCATCTCAACATAGTGCACGTTATGTCGAGTCACCTAGACTAGTGGCTACATTGCGACTTGGTCCATAGAATTCAATTTACATTAAGAATGACCTGACACACATGACATTGATCGCTATCCTGTGACCAATCAGTTGTAAACAATTAAATATGCCAAGAAAAATCGTCGAAATGTGTAGTGTTATTTTAATAAACCGTTGAGAAATTTTTAAAGTTAACTTGTGTTACCAAAAAGAAATTACTTATTCTCTAAAGAGGTAGCTTATACTAAGTCAATTTAATTTTGTATTATTTCCCATCATATGACTAGTTTCTTGTTAAAATGTAGCGACATAAACCGGTACAAAACTGTGTCGCGTTCTGCTGTGTTTTTGATGGCTTATAGCTTTGATAATTGGAAAAACAATCTCAGGTTTATTGAATATTTCTGTTTCCTGTATCTCCAACGAATACATTTTGCAGATTACTGTATTAGTATTTAACATCCATGATCCCCATATTTACAAACTTGAAAAGTGAAAAGTACACATACTTACACGTGCTTAAGGTCGTTTTTCTAACCATTGAGGTTATACACAATGTTTTCTATGGTCGGTCGTAAAAAAATGGAAGGCCTGAAACAAACGCGTACTGGCTCATGTGGTCATACTTTATATCAACGTAGAGGGAGGAAACCAATAAAATGAAAGGAGTAGAAACAACAGCGGTGTTAACGATTATATCCCATACAATAATAAAGCTTAATTATAAAACTGGGAATCAGTGAAAAATTATCAATCTTAGGTAAACTACCGATTCTAGATATCGAGGAATTGTGACAAATGTATACGCACGATTGGTAAATGGACCACATTTGCTCGTACCATCTTCATATTGCTTTTTTCTTATCGACTGAACAACCTCTTCTTTCAAATATCGAGTAAATTTGAAGTCTACATTTGAAAATAGGTAGAAGTACAGGTGAATACGGTTTACTTTGAACTGCAGTAGAAAATACTACAAAGATATGAACGGTTGAGAATAACTCTGTCCATACATATAATTCATGTTATCAAGTTATTTGAAGATTTATGTCCTTTGATAACCATTAACAAATATGTCCTATCTTGATATTAGTCGACTAATTTTCTGTGTAGATAATTATATCTTAACTGTTAAACTTAAAATTATGAACTGAGCACCTAAATAGGACTCCAGTTGTTTCATTTCACCAACTTTTATGTGGATTTTATTAGTTCACTTTTCAAGTAACCGATTAATAGCAACTATTAGGAACTCTCATCAGTGGCGGAGAGTTCTAACAACTATGTAACGGTTAGTTGCAATTATATCTAGTGAGCTTGTCTTGTCTTCATCAGATCTTCAAAAACAAAGACCTAAGGTTGGTTGACATTTCAAACACCTTATCAGGAGCAAGTTAAGTTCGAATTTATAAAAGTATTTATATATCTTTTGCAATCCTAGTTCACGGGAACCTAGTGAACTGAATACACCATATGTGAGTAGCAATATTTAGTGAAAATCTCCCATTAAAATTTGATGTAGCAGGCCACTAACATGGGTATGACGAACAATCATAATTCGTCAGATTATAAGAAATAGACTTTACTTCAGTAAAATAACGGGGGACGCAGAAGATGCTGTTCTGTCAGCTAACTCAGATAACCGTTTTGCCCTAGTTCCCATTTTAAAGTAGTTATTTTGGCCAATAAATTAAAGGTTAATATCATCAAACTGTGAAGTACACTTTACGAAATTCTCAAGTGATGATGGCCAAGTTATGAAGCGTTTGAAATAATCAAAAATTTAATGAGCATTTATGTTACCGATAAGATTAACCTCTCGTATGGTGCATATATATATGGTGCCCCCTTGTACCAATATTTATGTGTTCAAATAAATAAAAAAAGATTAATCACTGCATAACCAAAACTAAAGAGACAGAAGTGAAACCAAACTTCAGTCTTGTAGTTAAAGATTTAGCCTACAACATTATGAGGTGACCTGCTTTGAACTCATCTAGTATAATCTGGTTTACCCTAGCTAAAATTGTTTAATGTTCGCGTCTGTTGTTCCTGGCCCCATGGGAACACTATGAAAATAGTATTGAAGTTCAACATAGTGTGTTTAGGCTTACCGGAAACTGTTCACCGATATATGAAGTCGTATTTAAATGCTAACTCTGGCTGCTTGGGTACATTTTAAGTATGATTATTTGGTTAGATTTAACATGAGACCCATAATACGAACTGCTGAGACATTTAACTATAATGGATCTTAATTATTTTTCTTTTATTTTTTTCTTTTATTTCAACACATAGATAATAGTACAAAGAGGCACCAAATACATGTGCGCCACACAAATCTCATTCGATATGTGTGAGGGCTATGATACTGCCCGGGTGCCCAGACCGAAGCAGGTGGTTTTCTTAAGGGGCCACTCCCCGAGCCTTTGACCTAATGGTCTGATCCACAAGGCAGTGGAGCATCGTAAGGAGATGCAGTCCCATGGTAACCGGTGACCAATTGATTCATACGCCAGTTGTTCCTTTAGGATACTGGAGCCCATGTGCACCATTGGTTTTGAATCCGGTTAAAGCGCCGGACATTCGCTTTTCGTCCTCTCATTTTCGTAAACAACACCCCCGCCACGAGAAGGCAGTGAGTAGGACTTCCCTGGCAGAGGCTATATACGCGTGGCCGTGTGAGAGCATTTCGAGAGGGAGAGCGGACTCTCCCCACTCTCGGCCGTACCAGGGCATTTGGGGGCTTATTTAGACGATAGAAACCCATAGTAAGTACTCTCTTTTTATGTATATTTCATGCTCTTTTAGGTCTAAAATAAATCAATGTAAAGAGTTTGTGACTATAAAGATATTAACGTATTTTAGTGACATACTTTTAAACGGATCACGAACCTCCCAATCACCATCGGATTCAGACGACTGTTGGACAAATTCATTGAACATCCGAGTGATAATTCAATTTAGCTATGGTACCTGGTAAAAAAGATGATTTAGTAAAGTAATTCATTTTTTCGAGAAGTTGAATATGAAGAGAACACCATACACAACTGTTGAACGCTTAGTTAGGATTTGTACATTTACCTTATGGAAATCAATTGTTCTCCAAAACAACCTCCGCATCGTTATATGAAAGCAACACTCAGTTTAAAATATAATTTAGGAATTCAAGAACCTTTGCGAATTTGAAAAAGCCATCTACAAAATGATATTCAAGTGTATGTGACATTACCATCTAACCCTACTAAGAGCGACTATCACACGGACCAAACGCGATTTTGCATAAAATCTTCGGTTACTTAAACCCATGATAAGCTGGTTACCAACAAAATCATATGGAGAATATAAAGGGCTCGATCGAGTTCTCATAGAGCAGAAATATATATGCTGTTATGATATCGTACATGGTAATGGGTTTTGGCCAATTTATTTATTTATTTTAACACATAGATATTAGTACAAGGAGGCACCAAATACATATGCGCCACACAGATCTCATTTGATATGTTTGAGGGCTGTGATACTGCCCGGGTGCCCAAAATGAAGCAGGTGGTTTCCTTAGGGGGCCACACCCGGAGCCTTCGACCTGAAGGTCTGATCCACAAGGCAGTGGAGCAACGTAAGGAGATGCAGTCCCATGGTAACCGGTGACCAATTGATTCATACGCCAGTTGTTCCTTTAGGATACTGGAGCCCATGTGCACCACTGGTTTGGAATCAGGGTTTTCCAAATCCCCTAGGTGGACTCTCCGTATCCACCAACCCGGTTAAAGCGCCGGACGTTCGCTTTTCGTCCTCCCAATTTCGTAAGCAACACCCGTGGTGCGAGAAGGCAATGAGTAGGACTTCCCCGTTAGAGGCTATATACGCGTGGCCATGTGAGAGAGCGGACTCTCCCCACTCTCGGCCGTACCAGGGCATTTGGCCATATATATAAATATAAAAGAGTATCGAGTGGTCAACACGAACGACTGCATATTATGGGACGGCTGAACGAGATCTCCATATCCTAGGTGTATTCCAACTGGAAAATGAGGACGTGCAAAAAAAACTTTTAGTCTCATACCAACTGAAACAGGTAGAACAAGTATCTGGCTTTTAAGTACCTTCATATAACAAATTTCGAATGTCTAACATCTTAATTCAGACAAACTCATCGCGAATTCACAAAAATTAAACTGAATGAATGAACTATAGATTTAGTGATTAACGTCGGAGTTCAATGAGCTGATTGCAACAAAATTGTTCTGAATTCACTAAACAAACAGTTAAGACACACTAGAAATCCATCACATAAGGAAGATCATATCACTCTAAGCCTATTTTTCAATACCACTTATTTTTATTATTTAATTTATTATTATTTCTTCCAGTAATTGTTTGCTTCCGTTAGTTTTAAAGTGTATCAACTTGGGATGATAAAATAGAGATTCATATCCTGTACTATTTTAATCGGCCAAAAGTAAGAAATAATTTTTGCACCGAAGTTGGGACGCATAACATGTGGAACAATACCATATTCAAGACTTTAAGACATGACGAATGAATGCAACAATGTGAACAATCATAAACTACATCAGTCTCAAAGTATATTTTATGGTTTAATCATAGGTACCGACAACATCTATGCCAGTATAAAGAGCCAAAATTAACAGCCACTGACTACATACATTAATATCATAACTTGGGCTAGCCACTCCCAGTCTATCTTCAAAACACTATTATAATAGCGAAAATAGCGCGCTGAGGTAACAGATGTCTGGGAATGAGCAGTAAATCGTGGCTAGCAGTCTAAACAAGAGGTTCACTACCCTTAACTGTTCATATGCCTAACATTGCTTATTCGGTGGTTTTGTGCCTAGGCAATCTTTTCCAGACCAGTAGGATAAAAGAGCAGTTTACAAACATTCTTACAAAGGGCGTACTATGTAATCGCAAAGCAATATATAAAAAACTTCTGCGCAGTATCCTCGATCTTGTCTGGCAAACAAGTGGTGTCGTTTGAAAGAAACCAAGCAGATATCCTTTCGTTATTGTTGATGAGAATTTACTTTATACAACAAAATCGATGTCATTCCTTAGAAACTATAGTCTCCTGTTTTGATTTTAACTGTTTTAGGCATTCAGATGATACGCTAGAAGACTAAAGACAGTCAGCCTAAATGACAATACAAAAGTTTAGGCATCGAAAATAAGATTCAAGAAATTGTAGATTATTGAAACAAAGAAAATTACGAAGAATTCAGAAGCTTAGAATCTGAGGCAAGATAAAGAGTGGGTGCATCCGTACCAACACAAACGATTTTGAGCCACGCAATCTAAGTTAGATTTGAAAACTTTCGTCAAGTTATAGACAGAGATCAGCAGATATACTGCAACAACTTGAGCAGTGAAGAAAAAAACGAACAAAGCAAACGACAACTAGTAAGCTGAAACCGAGAAAATGCGACAGTTGTAAGAATTTGATACGTCAAATTCTCAAATAAACAGTGTCAGTATCTTAGAAAATTTCCAGACAATTTCAATCAGAAAAGAATGCTAACAACTAAACAGTCAAGCTACGTTTACGGTTTATGGTTCAATTCAAGCACGCAGAATGTAGTGGAGCCTAACACTAACTCCTAACAGTAAAATGAATCAGTATTCTAAATAAGTCGTACTAAAAATTAGAATGAATAGTTAATTTTACCACTAACAATCACAAGCCCCAGAAAAAACAAAAATGGGCAGCTAAAACATGTATTTCAGTTAGATGTTACAATGCAAGCAAAAACTGTTGCACAGACGTCCATTAATTGTTAATTACTGGCCAGCTTGGTTTCTTAGGAGTACATAAACTTGTTCTTTGATCCAGTTTTTATGATGTGGAACATATGTGTATGTAGGTTCATGAAAAACTAAACAACTTAGGTCAGCCAGCTGGTCGATGAACTGGAAAAGTTGGGATATATCATAAGTGATGGTAGGAGCATTAGGTTTTTCACGTTTTAGCTGCTCTTCATATATCTTGCATACACCCTCCAAACATTGTTCTACAGTTTCATAATCAGACCATGTGCGAGTATCTGGTTTTTTTACAGAAGGCTGTACAAGTAATATTGTGTGAGGCATCTTGAAACCTAAAGGAAAATAAAGTGGTTAACAAATTTTCCCTCTAAAGGAGAAGTGAAAAGTTCAGTAAGGTTTTAACTAGTATATTTGTGAACTAAAGAAGTACAGAAATAAGTTAGGTAGTTCAAACTGTTTAAAAAGTAGAAATAATCATTCCGTACCATGTAGTACATCTGGAGTTTGTACATAACGTAAATCACAGTAAATAAAATAGTTATATTTTTACCCAACTCATACTAGTTCAGCTGAAAACGCCAATGATCATAAACAGCACAACCCCGAATGACAGTAACCCAAGGTGGTAAGCTTGACAAAAATTCTGAGAGTGGAGGAGAGCGAGTAGAGATATCTTCATCAGCATACAGGCCAGCAACAGCTACATCAATATAACTTGATTGTGGTAGTACTTCTTGGGCTTCGAAAACAACCCAAAATGTCCACGGTGTTTCCCATAAGGTCCCATGTTCACCAAATGCTGCTGCATTCAAATGGTATAGAAAATAATGTTCACCTTTGTTGCTTGAAATATCGCTAATTAATGGACGAGGGAGTGGCATAGATGAAGGATACATTGCAGTTGATGCAAACGACCATGCAGTTAACTTAGTATAGTTCCCATCTGTACGAATTAATATATGAGTATGAGGAGGACCGGAAACTACGGAAAATGTAACGTTCCAACTCAAGCGACTATTTGGTAAGTAATCCATTAACAATGTGCGTGACAGTAACTTTAGCTTCACAGTTGGTTCTATATTGTGAAATTCAGCAGGAACACGATAAAAATATCTGAAGATATGAAGAAAAGGATAAATAGAGGCTATACCACAATAAGGTTGACTGTAATTGCATCCCGTGGGTTCTGCTTCAACAAGTTCTTTGATACCTTTGAAGTTCGATTGAGTATGCTCTTTTGAATTCATAAATAACCTAAGTACGGACATAGGGTAAGAATTAGGTGTCAGATATCGAATACCATTCGCATCAATGGGGACAATTAGGATATGACTTTCTCTCTCTGTGATCTCAGGAGAATCCGGAATATGCCGAAGAAATTTGTTGGTATGAAAAACAACCAGTCGTTGATACCTTGGACTGACAAGAGGGTTTGAAAAATTTGGAGATGGCTGGATACTATACGGGAATCCATAATTTGATGCATGAATGAGGACTGCATACGACAAGCAAGCATTTAGCAACATCAAGAGAAGATATTTACTTCCAGTTCTCGAGGTGCATTGTAGCCGTCCTAGGGATGGAAGCATCACAGGTAGCATGATGATAAATATACAACAAGAAAGGAATAAATCTGGTTTGATAGCATGACCCGAACGTCCCATAATCGGTATCATAAAGTTAAGAAATAAATTAAGGTTATATGTATGCATTGAAGTAACGGCTAAGAATGAAACAAAACGGACGGTCTGACAAAATTTTAGTTTGATTGGTGAAGCATTTCGAATATCAGACATCTTAAATATAAGCCCAAACGCAACCCAGAATGTATAAACGTATGATGAAGGAGCATTAATTAAAGACAACAAAAATGACTGAAGTGCTATTAAAAATACACTAGAATCAAAAAAGTCGGTTTCTAAAGAATAGAAGTAATCTAAAGTATTATGCTGCCATATCCTTGAAAAGTAATTAGAAATCCCAAGAAACTTAAATACAGAACCTTCGGGTATTTTGAGTAAGTGAGCCTGCGACCATACAAACCACCAGACTACTGGTAGAATAAACATACCCACAATATTATAATGATTTGAATACCAAACCATTCTGCAACCGTAATGGTGATACATAAGTCCAAGTACGACTGAAAAGGCGAAGCCTAGTAATGTTGTAACTACTTGCACCAACAAAGCAGCAACGAATCCATACCACCGGACGTAGACAAGTCGTCTAGCTCTAAATATCAGGAAGCACAGAAATAAACACAATAGATGGTTGACAGTTTTCCAGACCCCCCATGGAACAATTATCACAAAGGCGCCATACAGATCAAAATAAACGTGTCGAAGAGTTGCCGATCTAGTGACCAGTGGAGGGACACTGTTTATATCCGACGGTGAACCTGAGCCTGAAACACGCGTCAATGTTTCTGATGTATGATTTATCGGAGTCAGTTTGGTGAAACCTTGTATTCTTTCATCTTTGGCAATCAACTGGACAAAACTCAATATATTGTACCCAGACAGTTGAAGACAACGATCCGAAATACGAGACTCTGTATCATAAGGAGTGTGGTAAACGTACCCGTCTTGTATATACGCAAGATCTAACCCTGGGACAAGCCCATAGTCACGAAATATTCTGTAATCTGTGTCCGACGGCACTAGTCCGAACTGGAACACATCTTCTCCCAAAACACTGGCAAATGGTTGTTTGAAAGCACTTGCATAAGCTTCAAGTAAGACATCTGATGACGGACCAGGACCAGTTTGAAAAAGCATTAAACGTTTAGCAGCACCTGCCCCTTCTAAATTCATAAAAGCGACGATATCAGTGGCCCACTTGTGTTGCGTTATAAAAGCATGACTGCTAAGCAACAGGCTTTCCTCAGCACCATTGAAAAGAAATATAAGGTCATTAAAAAGAATAAACGAACCCGTCGCCAATATACGACAAACTTCTAACATGACAGCGCAATTAACAAACGCATCACTAGCACCAGGACTCCCAGGGGCTGTATCGTAATGACAGTTAATGAGAAATGCTAGTCTGCTATGGTTACCACCTTCGGCACGCAGATCATGAAAACGAAGAGCAAAGTTCCGAACATTATTGTATGAAGAAACATGAGAAAACGCCCGGAAACTCGAGTAACCAGACTTATGTTCGTCTAGAGAAACGACCAACCCCGTTTTGTTAGAAACAGATGCAATTAACCTTAATTCATTCCGAAGATAGCCAGCAGCAGCAACTTCATTAGCCAAGGACCCGGCAGTTCGGGGACCGAAGTTGGTGACCTTGATAAGGTGTGATCTAGCAGATACCACGTTAAAAAAACTGCATAAAGAGTCAGAACAAGGCCAACAATCACTATTGTCGTCGCAAATAATGAAGCAAGCTAGGAAAACAGCTGTCACAGGGAACAACCAAAACAGGCTGTATGGACGGTCAGTGCATTTATCTGAAATAGGGACTTCCGAGTGTTTGCTATGTGCATATTTTAAACACTGTTGAGCCGACGAATTGCTATCTTTTAAGGTCTCCGGCTTCCTCCTTCGAACCTCACTCATTAGGTCGAAACATAATACTACAGAGCCACAAAACCGCAAGTTTCAAATTAACCGCGTTCAATTCTCAATATTCGTCACACGAAAAAGTTCTGAAAAGTTCCGGGCTAAACTGAGAACAGCTAAGTTTTATGAGTACAAATAATTAAAGAAAACTATAAAAACTGCATAAATAGTGTCAACTTATTTAAAAATATGGGTAAACTGCCACATGTTCTCGGAGTTTTACAACGCTTTTACACGTTACATATTTTTAATCGGAAATGAAATGGTCTGCAGATATATTTGAAAGGCTATCGGTATGTCGAAGAACGTTTGGTCTAAACTGGCTGGTAGTTGAAAAAGATGCGTAGCATGGCGTAACCACACATGATGTGATGCGGATGCATGATCGAGAAACTCCAGTTAGGTGTGTCCAGTAAAACTAATGGGATCAGCATCAAATGTCGAAGACTTAAGAACAATTTATTTTTGGGATTTATCTACCTCTACAACACTACCATCAGTAATCCCGAAATGTAGATATTTGAACGAAAAAATATTCTTTTCAATAATTCCCCTTCACGTTCTACAATCATATTTCAGGATTAATAATCAAAACTAACTGGTCAAATTTAGGACAGGGTAAATCACTCTGAATTGGCATGTGAGTTTTCGATTTTTTGCAATGCAAAATAAAATAAATAATGTTGGGCGACTAATATGAACGGTTATCTTGAACAGTTTTATATGTTAAACGAAGTTGGGAGATAAATGACCAGAATAAATATGGTAAACATGGGGTGAGACAGATGACAATGTAGTTAGAAATCACGTAATATGTAAAATAGCATGAACTGTTTTGAACTAGTAGATAAGGATAGATGCTGAATAACTTTCTTAAAAACGTTAGCAGGTGTTATAATAATAGTGCCAATAATAATAATAATAATAGTATGTATGAATAAGGTAAACTTGAGCTACGGGCCAGAAGCTGGGCAAGGTAAGCGGGTTGGCTAAGCATATTTCTACCTGAAACCTGCTTCTGATTTATTTATTTAAGTCATTTCTATGATGTGGTGACGTAACTGGATACTGTCGTAACTGTTGGAATGTATGAATGACGTCAGTAAGGAAAGCACCACAAAATACCTACTACTAGTGGTCTCGCATCTATGGAGCCTGATACCCATCAACTGGTTAGGACAACATAAAATAACATCAGCACCAAGTTGGTGTGAGTTTCTTCCTATTTATTCTCTGTTAGCTTTTTACTCTTCTGTACACTATGTCGACTAGCAATTAATGTTATTTCTACACTCGTTACCTTATCTATAACTCATACACTTCTATACTTTTCAACCTGCTTTAATAAACAACTGTCTTACATTATGCCCTTCTTAATGGTTATACTCTGATTGGCACACCTTATACTATAGTCCATCAAAGCACTGCGTTGTTGCCTTACCCACAGTTCATAACTTGTAAGATTATAAAGTGGTACTTATAGAAATAGTGTTTTCCAACAGAGTGTGAAACACAGAGGATTGTGTGAGGTATGACATGAGATTAGATGGTGGTTGGAGGTAGTCAACAGGAAACCCTGGACCCGGGTTTCGTGCTACTTGGCACTCGTCAGCAAGGTGTACCTGTAATCTTCAGGGAACTGGTGCTCCCTGGCGGATTCGATCTCGTGTCACCCAGCTTCACAGTCAGAGACGTTACCACTGAGCTATCCGAGCCGTGACTAACCTCCTGTAGGACTGAGATGTAATCACAATTGATTGATCACAAGCATGAGATTGATCACCACCCAGTGATCAATCAATTGTGAGGTATGACATATATCCCAAAATAGGCTTAAATGAGCCTAACATAACAAAAAAAGGGAGAGTGGATGTAACGGAAAGAGAACGATGAAAATCCTTCCGCAGCTTCTTTGTTGAACAGTATTGTCATTTATTTGTTCCTTCTCCCTGTCGTGTAATTTAACCTTTGTTCAGATCACGTTTAAATACATCTGTCGTTCTTCAATCTTCCTCGTCTGAGCCTTTATTACGTGATTTCGATTAAAGACTCATCTTTTGTTACCTAAGTTCCCATTGCATTTTGCCGGACTATTGCCAGTAAGGTCGTGTTTGACTAAGCTCAAGGTCATGGCGTGGTTCAGTGTGTGACCGTTAACCTTTTGACTGTCTGCTTGGGAGGATTGCCGGAATCCCTGTGGATAGATATCTGATCAGTACTTGTTGGGAATATTTTTATTGATTCTCAGGTATCAAACCCTTTAGCATTAACTGTTTTCTTCATTGTTTAGTGCGCTACTTTGCGTTAAAGAAACTTCTGACTGTATAGCACACGCTGTACCGTTTAAGGTATTTTCTACTTTTGATATAATTTGTTCTGTTTTCTGAATTAGGACCGGTTATATTGAGCACAGAGTTTGTGTTTTGATATAACATAATACGAGTATCTTAAAAATTCGTTGTGAGCTATACAGAGGAACGTGTTCTGGTCTAATCGAATAAATTTAGGGTTCGTCAGTCCGGTGTTCCAACCGTATATTGATTGTTTTGTCGCTACAGTGAAGTTACTGACCAGCAAGCATTGCTGGTTAGGGCGATTACTTCAATCCACCCGTGTTTGTAGGGCAGAACATTTTGTATGTTTCAGGCTCTTTATGATTGAGAATAAGTCAATCAATTTGTGATACAGATTGTCTCCCTGCACTCACCACGCAGACTCATGTTTCCAATTTCATGCTGAATTGGCTGTTCTACTAAGATAACCTATAACATGTTAACTCGGTTTTTTACACTGGGATTGTGTGGCTGGCATCGGATGGACAAAAAGATAAAAGAAAGAAAACACTAGACGACAAAAGATATGGTCATTGGGATTCTTAACACTTCACCCTCTATATGCACACTCCCTTCTAATAAACAGCTTTCCTTGTACCAACCTTGACTTCCTTCATGTGAGCTTACTCCAACTTGTTAAACATCACAACTCATTATTCTTTATTAATACATTCTCTTATATGGAGCCTCTGACTTCATTTCACTGTAACAAGAGATAACATGAATTTTATCTAACTTAATATTCCTCTGCCTTTTCTATTACACAATGTTAAGCAACGTTTGGCGTTCATATCCAAGTGCCTTGCTGCTTTTCTGTTTCTCTTTTTCTTCTTCGGAATCTTTCTCTGAAGGCACAGCTATGGGACTTCTGGCGTCCGGAACAAACTTGATGTGCGCGTCTTCTCAATGTCATGGTTTGCAGCAAGTGCTCTACGAGTCTACTTTATAACAACTATAAACTTCATAAGTTGGAAAGCATGCTGTGCGCCAACAAATGTTGTAATTTGTAGAGCATTCCTGTAAAAATGGCATGTACCTGCTCATGCAGAAATACATTATTATTATGTTATCTAATCAAATCTTAGTTGGCTCCAAAATGACCAACTTCGTTTAGAATAATTTCATTGGTTAGAAAAATCGTTTAAAGTTGTTTAACTCTTCTGAGCACCTGAAATTGTTTCGTTGTTATGAAGTTTCATTGACTTTATACAATAATGATGTAGCTGAAATTTCGGTCACTTTTCTGATGGAATACACGTTCTTAAACGATAACCGCTCAATGACGCTATGTTTTCAAACTAAATCGTCGTACTGACTAATAATTTTAACATCCTTAGGTTTCGAAAATAGCTATGTGGATAGATTCCTCAAATTTTGGTTTACTCATTCTAAATATATATCTGCTTGTAGCTCTCCTAGGTTTACCACTGGTCTCAGGTTCGGATAAAAAAAGGAGGGTTGAACATGGGGTCTGGAACCTAGTCACGTAAAAAACTACCTTACTAAAAATTGTTAACCAGAAAAAACTAATTCAGACCGTCTAAACAATGACCTGGGTATTCATGGATCTTCCTTCAGAAGAATTGTGACGCCAAAGGTAAAAGCCGAACTTCTTCAACAATCAAGAGGCCGATGTACCAGATGTGCAATTAATATGGGTACATAGGATATTCGGAAATGTGGGAGATGAGAAAGAACAGTCAATTAGCTATGGGAAGTAGGAGGTACCATTTGGTGATACTAGGAATAAGCGAACCCTACTTGACCCAAGCCAAACAGAAGAGATTGGATTTAGGGGAGATGCTGTCAGGGAGAACAAGTGCCGATGGACTGGAAAGAATGATATCTCATCACAATACTAAGTAAGAGAGAGCTCAGCAAGTATAAAGACTACAGAATAATCACATTACTATTGCTACTAATTAACGATTTCAATAGAGTGTTGCTGAAGCTTATGAAAGATTCGGTAAACGAACATCTTTGAGGTTAACAGAAAAAATTCCTTAAGGATCGACAGTGCAATGACCGAATTGTGACAGTACGGATCAGTATTACAAAGTTAATGGAATAGAACTATGGAAATATCATTATACGTCAACTTCCCTGACTATAACGGCACTGGATGGCGTGACAAGTAGAACGTTAAGAAACTTATTCTATGCTACGTAGTGAGTAACTGTGAAGATCATCAACATCGTGGGGAATCAATAAGAATCACCACAATACAAAGTCGTGGGACGGTCAGGACGTTAAGCCATGTGTTGTTGCGCACATATTACATGTTGTCGAGAATTTCGCATGCTTATATATCAGTTGTTAACAACATTCTTTTCCTCCTCACGTTAGTTTTCGTAAATGTTTGTGCTCTTTACATGGCTTTTATTCCAGTTTATTAGTAGTTTGACGTATTTGTTGCTCACAACCTGGGTAATGTTTGGGGAATATCATTGGTAAACAAGGAGAATTTGATGCAGATATGAAAACATGGGTTGAAAAAACAATTGAAGAATATATATAGGAATAGGAACAACTGTCAGACAGGATCGAAGTCATAATCTTCAAAATGAATGTCAAGATAATCCAACTGTATAGAGCCAAAATTTTGATAACTACCACAATTATGATCAAAAACGTACATGTACTTACAAACAATTGTCAACGCAA